GAAGAATAGTGGGTATTAATTTACTCAGATCCCTCTAGGAATTTTTATAAAATGGTACCTTGAAAAAATATAATAATAATATCTCATGGGTTATTAAATCATAGAAATTAGGGAGAAATAATAAAGTTGAGAAGGTTACTGGAGATAAATGAAATGTGCTTTTTGGCCGGTTTGCTGGATAAGTTACTTCATTTCTTCAACTCTCCAGTGTTGCTGGCTCTATATACACTATTGTATTTGGATTTACACCCTTTATTAACATCATTATATAGATGGAGAACCCAGTCAGGGATTTTCCCAAGATGACATCTCTGCCCATGACTCACCTTGTCAGACAGTGAGTGACCCTTCTTCAAGGCATAAACACAACTAAGCCTTTGCCAGGTCTGATCAGAGAAGATATTGCCAAAGTATAGGAATCTTCCTTCCTTCGGCGACACAGGACTCCTTCCCCCTGAGTCCTTGTTTTAGGGGTCTTATGTGAACTAACTGCTCTCTGCTCTCAAAAACCCAATGGGGAGAAATATATTTGAGAATGCAGTGTACATTCCAGCCTCAGTACTTAAGTTAGATTCCTGTGTCAGTTTAGGTCACACCCGTTTTAGTCTCCATAACTTTACCCTTCACAGAAATGCCTTCATTGATTTTCATTTCGCTATTGTGTTCTTTTATCTCACTATATACAAGCACAATATTATGTAAGTAATATTGTTGTGATTTTTTTATAAGGCTGTTAGAAGGTTGGCTGCTGTGCCTTTACATATTCCAGGTGATAAACTCTTTTTTATACTTTAGTATCAAGGAAAATTTGTCTATTAAAGGATGAGGAAAGATTTACCACTGTTTTCCACTAACTCTAGTGAGAATTTAACAATTCCCGTTAGTTTTGAGGCCACGGTGGCATTAACAGTTTCTGTGACTCTGTCCACAATAGAAACCATATTACCATTGTAACAGAGATTTAAAATATTGCTTATGTTCATCACAACTTTGAAATTAGAATATCAAGTTATTAGGTCTGCCACTAGATAATAGTATTTAATACATTATTAAAGAAGCAAAGATATTATACCACAAATTTACTTCTCAATATTATTTCAGTATAATTTGTTTCTTTTGTAATCTTTTCTTGTTTTATTTTATACATTTAAAAACATTATTCTGAGTAGGTGCCCACAGGCTGACAAGGTGGTAAAGGCCAGAGGTTTGTGACACCAAACACTCCATTCTCAAATAGCCTTCCTGGCATGTGTGCAAGAGTGCCTCCTGGCTCCTTCGGACTTGGTTCAGATGTTCCCTGTAGTGAAACCTGTGAAGGTCCCTTCCTGCCCTCATCTGGGCATTCTCAATACTTTGCATTTTGGTGAGCTATGTCTGTCTTCCCTACTAGCCTGTGAGCTATTTGAGAGAAGGGACTCTCTCTTTCTTGTATTTTAATCTTTAGTGCCTAGCAAGGTGCCTTACTTATAACAAGCACTCAGTAACTGCTTATTTAAATGCCACTTTCTTTTTTTTTTCTACTCCATGTCCATCCTTCCATTGCTTTTCCTCTTTGCATTGCTTGCCAGCTGGTTCTTGACTCTTTGGCTCAGGATTTACTACTATAGTGTACTCATCAGGTAGGCAGTGATGATTTCTTTCATCCTGTTTTATCAACACCAGCGTTAAATTTTTTGAGTTAGCCTATTTGATGTTGGAATGCCTTTGATGAACCAGGCCAGGCATTAGAAACACCTTTTTCTCCTTATTTGGGTTGTGGTCATTGATAGTTAGCCATCTTTTCTTTCAAGTGTGGCCATTTATTTAAACATCAGTAGAGTCACAGAAAAGTTAGAGAGCTATGTGATAAGGGCCTGTTTCCTTTCTAAGCCCACTCCTAAGGGCAATACAGTATCAGGGGGAGAAAACACTTCAACATCCTATTATTTGTGCTGCCCCTTAGAGGTGGCTTAGTATGATGGAGAGGACAGGTATAGCAATAAGTAGAAAAAGATTTGTTGAGGGGTTTTGTTTTTGTTTTGATGTTGTTTGTTGTTGTTGTTGTTGTTGTTGTTTTTTAAATAGAACCCCAAACCTGAGAACAAAATCTATTCATTTTACTGAAGCATGTAAGCATGTCTTAGGAATCAGTAGTGGTTAATAAGAACAAAATAAAGGTGCCTTTTTTGTTATATCACATTTGGCATAAATATAGGGAGATATAAAAAAGTCAGATGAAATTTTATAACTAAATTTGTGTATCATTCTACTTTACAAATCATTTCCTGAGGCCCTTCTTTCATCTTATTTAACTGAAAGATAAATGATGAGGGTAGTCTTTTCTTACTAAATAATTTGGCTTCAGCTTTTTTTGAGCATCTCAGTTAAGTAGACCTGACTATGGATTGGCTGTCATTTAAAGAACTTAGAAACTTACAAAAACTCTTATATTTTATTACATTTAGTGTTTTCAATAATTAAAGAAATATGTAATGGAAAGTACAGGGAAGTACATGAAGAAGCAAATAAACAAAATCCCACTACCTAGAGTTATATCTGCTAGCAGTTTAGTATATTTTTTCTTACTGTTCTTTTTTCTTAGTTGTGTGTGTGTGACAAACCATCACAAAATGTAGTGACTTAAAACAATGATAGTTCTTCAGCTGGAAATTCTGTAGGTCACAAATTTTGGCTGAGCTCAGGGGGGTGGCTCTTCTGTTCCAGGCTGATTGCCTCATTCATCTGTGGTCAGCTACAGAACAGCCTGCCTTTTCCTAGCTGGGTTCATGTCTAGCACCTGAGCTCTGGTCCATGTGATCTCTCATCTTCCAGTAGGATAACTTGAGTTTGTTCACATGACAGTCTAGAGCCCCTAGAAAGAAGCCTCAGAAGTGTGCAAGGCTTTTTGAGCAAAGGCTTTAAATTGGCATTCCATTACTTCAGCTGTATTCTTTTGGCTGAGGCAGGCTAAGCCACAAGGTGAGCCCAGATTTGAAGGGTGGGGAAATAACGTCCAGTCCTTGAAAGGAAGAGCTGCAAGGTCACATTGCAAAGGATGTGAAAACAGGAAGGAATGAAGATGTATGGACATTTTTGCATCTTACCACAGTGTGTCTGTGTCATGTGTACGTGGAGAAAAATGGACAGCATGTCATTATACATTATACATTTTTCGTCTCCATATAGGCTTCAAATCCAAGTTACGGATTCAACTCTGTGTATACTGGGGAGCATACTGAATATACTGGGGTGGTTAAATGGTTTCTTAGCTGAGAAGTATCTCAATGGGTGTGTAGAATAGAGGAGGTGCTCGATAAATCAGAAAAGAAAGCAAAAGAAAATGTAACTTCTTTAGGCAACTGTTTGAATTCCATTGGGTCCACCCATGGTAGGTTTTATTTATACTCTCATTTCTGTCTATGTATCTTCTCCTGGTTGATGATACCAAGGCACTCGCTATAGGAGAGCGCCTGCCTCTGAGCCCTACTGTAGCCTCTCACCATCTCTGAGATCTTGGAAGAGTCCCTTGACTGTGTACCTCAGTTACTTCATCTATTTAATGAAAATAACAACTACCTCACAGAGTTGTTGGGAGAATTTAATTAACTAAGGTATATGGACATGTATTGGTAACTCTACCTATATAATTGTGTCCCAGGAACTCTCTGATGCTTTCATGGAATGTCTATAACATTTCTTACTTAACATTTTTTTCACATCCCCAGCATTTCAAACTGGCTCTAGCTTTCTTTAAAAGAAACTGTGCTTTTTTTTTCCTTAAACAACTGTTTGTTCATTTCTGCTTAGTGTATTTTGAAGGAAATTTAACTTTCTCAGCCTTAGCCTGTGTACTAATCTTCAAAATACGATAGCCATTTCTATAATCTGATAGAGCCTCCCTGTTAACATCAATAGATCCTTGGGCTTTTCTGACAGGAAATATTTTTGAGAATGTATAATCAGTTATGGGGAATTCTTGTCAATAAATTTTCTCTACAAAAATAAATCAGAAATCCTATAACAATAGCATTATGGAAAAAATCTGTTTTCCTTACTACTCCCTACAAAATGGTCATGCTTGAAGCTCACGGAAATTTTTACTTGGGTGAAGGCTATGTATTTAATTTGTGTGCTGGCCATCTTTCCAACCAGCCAGTTTGCATAAATTTCAGGTCCTAAGTAGGAAGAAGGTGGTTGCGTGTAGAGTCAACCTTTTCTCTATCAAGTCTGTATCACTTTTATTTTCCCATGACTGGCCACTTCCACTTTCCAGACCCTGTGAATTTCACCATAAACTTTCTTTATTCCCTCCCCCTACTCATATACATGCCTATGCACTCCAAGAAAGAGGAACATCTTCCTGAAACTCCCCTTTGTTTCTCTTTTCCCTTTTCTGGACCATGAATGATTAGAATTAGTCCACTCCTATTATGAAAATGTGTCTGTAACCATCCTTACAGTTCATTCAGTCGTCTTTAAAAACTCATTCATTCACTTGTTCATTCATTCATCACTCATCCAGCAGTAACAGTGTTGTACATACTGTGGTGGGTGCTGTGGAACAAAAGACATATAGGCCTGGCGCTGATGCATGGATTTTGCCCTGCTGTAGGAGGAACAGTCCAAGAAGGTGTCATTTGGGCAGGACTTGAAGACGGTTGGGAGTGGGGGGTGGAGGCCACCTTACACGCCTTCCCTGCTAAGGACCATAGCTTTGTGCCCATGTTTGACAAGAGTTAGAATCAGAAGTGGATGAGGTAAAGAGCAGAACAGTGATGGGACTGGATTCAGCCACTCGTGTGAAATAAGGGTGCTGCACAGTCATACATGCCAAGTACTGAGGGACAGCAGAGAAGAGTGGCTGATTAACCTGGGCTAGGGTCTTATGTATGTTCTCCACTTAACAAAAATAAAACCAGTTAACAGTAGCTAAGAACCAATTGCCTGTGAATCTAGGTAGTTTATGTACTTTATCCTGTTTTTGTAGCAAACCTTTAATGTAAATATTATCCCTCCTACAGATGAACAAACTGAGGCTGATAAAGGTTCAAGATCCCAAGATCACACAGCTAGTAAGTAGCAGAGCTTAGAATTCAAATCCAAATCATTGTTTCCTTAGAGGGTTAATTCCAATTTTAATAAGATATGCACACAGGAACTAATATCATAGTAAAATATAATACTTGCAATCCTGACCATGAGTGTTTTTAAGTCAGTATGACAGAGAGATCACAACATCTACAGAAATTGTTGCCAGCATGAAGTCACTAAGGGCCACTGTGGATGGCCACACAGGCTGTCATGTCGCCCCCTACAGTTAGCTGAAGCCTATATAGTCCTTAGGAGCATTTGTGGGCCCAGTTTTGGAGTTATGTAACTGCAAACTGCTTTCACTCGTGTTCGTTACTAACTACATCTAAGTCGTTCTTCTTACTTTGAGAAGTTAGATATATTTAAAGGGGTTGGGTGGAGAATGAAACAGGAAACTAGGTAATTATTTTGGTGTATGTCACATACTTTGGCCTAGCTATTAATGATGTCTGCTTCAAGCGTAGTGCACTTAAATCACTATAGCCTTCTTACTGTTGTCCTTTGTCAAGATGTTTACACATCTACCTAACTACATCAAAAGGCAAAGAAAATTTCCCCAACCAACCCAACAGTCACTGGGGAATGGTATCAAGGAGAAAAATACCCTTTTATTTTGTTAGGCATGTGAGAAACTAGATGGCAGAGCTCACTCTACAAGTAGGAGGCTGTAGGGACACACTTGTTGGGAGAGAGTCACCCCTCCATCCAAATCGTGAGCACCTTTGTCCTCAGTGCCTTACTCCAGGCGCTTATCTTCCACCTGGCCCATTGTGATAAGCTCCCCACTCACCTTCTCCACCTATAGCCATACACACCTAGATCATTTCTCTTCTATTCATTCCACCTCTCAGTAGCTTCCTTAGGCCCACAGGATAATGTCCTGACTTCTTACGATGGCAAAGGAACTTCCCTCCTTCCTTCTTCCCCTCATAGCCCCTGACCTATGCCCTTGGCCATTTCTGCAGTCTTCTGCCTTCCCTCCTCCCCTGCCACACAAGAGCAGAATGTGGGGAGAGTGAGAGCCTCTTACTTAACAGGTGCCAAGTGCCAGCAATTAAGTGTGGAGGGAGTGTGAGAGCAGCGGTAATCGGCATATCACTACCATCATAGTAAAGATCAGATCAGGAACAACTCGTCAGTGGTGCTAAACCTGAGCGGATGTGTACAGGAACAGGATGTTTGTATGGCATTCAAGTTTCTCCAACAGATTGCTGATTAGTTGCAAGGGAAAAATAGTGATTGTAACATGGAGGAATTGGACTACAGTTTGTTTAGGATCAAAATTAACATCACCATTGAGAGGCAGACAGGCATCATGTTCTGCCAGATGTGATATCTTGAGAAGAATACAACATTATCTGTGTGGTGTTCTGGCCAGGAATGTATAACTTGAATCCAATCATGAGGAAACATCAGGTAAATGCTCTATTAAAAAAGGGAGAAGGGGAACTGTGTCCTTCAGAAGTATGACTCATGATCATAAAAGACCAAGAATGGCTGTGAAAATGTTCCAGATTAACAGAGGCAGAAATGTTCCAGATTAACATAGCAGAACATAGCAGTCAAATGTTCCAGATTAACAGAGGCTAAAGAGAAGCAGCAGTATCTGACTCCCCAGGACCCTGTGCTGGAGAGCAGGGGCAGGGCGGGGGTAGGGGTGGGATTGAAGATCATTATTGGCTCAGTTGACAAAATTAGAACATAAGTTGCATCCATGTTACATTTACTAAAGTTACTAACTCTGTTGTGGTTATGTGAAGGCAAATCGCTATGCTTAAAAAATACACAACTGACATATTTAGGAGTAAAAGGCCTGTGATGGTGTGTGTGTGTGTGTGTGTGTGTGCGTGTGTGTGTATAGATATATATGTGTGTCAGTTGTGTATTTTCTAAACATAGGAATTACATATGTAAACATTGTGTGTGTAAATACACACATATATAAAATAGAGTCAGAATATGCAAAAAACAGAAATGGTAAAATGTTAAAAATATCAATTGTTAACAATAGGTGAATCTGGGTAAAAGGGTCAAGAGTATATGGGTGTTTTTGTACTACTCATATGCTTGTAACTTTTAAGTTTGAAATTATTCCCCAATAAAAAGTTTAAAAATTAAAAATATATATCATAATCATGTGAATTATTTTTTTCTAAATAAATATCTTTTCTTTTCTGTTCCTACCTTTTCCCTTTCTCCTGTTTCTTTTCTCTCATCTTTGTGTACCTCTTCTGTTAGAAGTCCAAGGCTGGCGAGAAGGGCATCTCTGTGGGGCAGACGGTCATCACGAAGCATCGGAACACCCGGTATTACAGCTGCAGAGTGATCGCTGTGACATCGCAGACCTTCTATGAGGTTGTGTTTGATGATGGCTCCTTCAGCAGAGACACATTCCCTGAGGATATAGTGGTGAGTAAATTCCTGGGGGATCTGCTCCCCAGTTTACTTTTTGTATAACTAAACTAGCTGAACCTTTTAGCAATCTTTCTTTCGGCTTTTGGAGTAACTCATTTCACTTAATATTCAACTCAGGTGTGCTTTTTGGCACTGACAAGAATTGTTTTCCAGGAGGTTCCTAGTGTTTTTCATTCTAAATAGTAGCCATGTGTACTTTGACTCATCTTCCCAAATTCCTTTAAGTAAGTGAGAAGTGTATGTGGCTAGGAAACATCAAATGCAAATTCACCTATTCTTTTCTGTTACAGAGAATTAGCATATTTGAATTCCTTTACTACCTCTTTTTCTTTATGCTTAACTGGAAATATGGCTTTTATTAATCTGACCTGACAGTGACATCTGTGATCCAACAGAAACATCTGTGGATGTTTCATATTGGAATAACAAAAGTCACTTAGGAAAAAGACTGAATTTTACTGAGCTTCTTAACTGGTCTGATACAGGATGAGTAGGTGTGTGCATATGCGTGTCTGTCTGTCTTCTCCTTCCTCTGTCTCCTCAGTAAACACCTCGGGATTTAGAGGAACTCGTAAATGTGTCTCATGGGCTTTCTTTTTAATAGCATGTTTCATGAGAAGAATACTTTCCACAAAAGGTTTTTTGAAACTGAGCTAAAATCACATACTTGAGACCAGGGTTAGTCCAGTGGTCATCTTGTTATCCTTTCTATATTTAAGAGAAATGTTATTTTGGGGGAGCCAGGCCTCAATAATGTAGTTGTAACTTCTGCTTGATGCTTTGCTCTTGTTTGTACTTGGAAGGGCATTTTTTTAATGATTCTTTAATAATTATGCATTATATGTGCAATTGATAATTGAACGTAACCATAGGAGATTGCTCATTAATATTTTCAGAATCTTGGTCTCCTGGGGCAAAAGTAACATTGATTCAATTAGCTTTGTTGTGTTTACTTCTCTGTACCATTAAGAGGGGCAAATATGTAAACAAAGTGACCTTATTTGAAAGATTTTAAAGCAAATGAATTTAGACAAAAAAAATCCCAGGACTTGATTATACACCAACAGGGTGAATTGTGTTTCTTTGCAGAATTCTACCTAGAGCTTCACTTTACTGCATTGCTGTTGCCATTCATAACCAGTAGCCCTTAGGTAACACATTCTCCTTGTTAGAATTAGTTATGTCTTGAAGCACTCAATCCACAGTTACTGAGTGCCTGCTGTGTGCCAACACTGGGTGCTGGGAAAGATAATGAGAATGTGTGATTCCTGCTCAGTCTAGAGGAAGGCAGGCTGGTAAATGGGTGCTTTCTATACCATGTGAGAAATGTAATAAATGAACCAAAAGCAAATTACTACCTGTTGAGTCTGGAAGAATGAGTAAGAGACTTGACAGGGTTAGTAAGGAGCTGACACCAACATGTACCACAGGCCAGGACCACTTTAAGAATGTGTTGTGCTTGAACTGATTTCATCCTCACAACTCTACATACTGGGCAGTACTATTGTTTACATTTTTCTGCTGAGGAAACTGAGGCACAAAGAGGTAAATAACTTCCCCATGGTCACACATAGCTAATAATAAGGTCACACATAGCTAATAATACCAGAAAAGGTATTCAATCCCAGAGTCTGGCTCCAGAGCCTCTGTTCCTAACCCCTGAGAAGAAAGGAGAGGAAGGGATGTGCAAGGGCAAGGCACAGAAGATGCAGGAGACGGAGGCCTTGGCCTGTCCAGGTTACATTCTCACTTCAGAATTAGCTTTCTTTTGTGCAGACTGTGACCATTGAGCTGGTAGAGTCCAGGAGACTTTGCAGGGTGGGATGGAAGATTTCTGAGTACCAATCCCCAGCCTGAGCAAGTAGTTAGGTCTTTATCCATGATAGTGTTTAATGAATTCTAAATTCCCTTTCACTTCCAAAGTCTCCATATACCCAACATGTTCTAAGCTTTCCTAAAATGTCTTTAGCTTGTAAAATGTCTGTGATCCTGGAAGTTTTTTGAAATTCTAAAAGTCTCTCCTTTTACACCTTCTTTTTCCTCTGTCTGTGAACCTCATACAAAGATGATCTTAAGTTATGTGGGTGCCGTGAGAAGAACAGGATTGTTCAGGACCACCTTGGCATTTAAGTCAATGAGAATGAAGAAACAACATTCTTTACAGCTTGATTAGCTGTCACTTAGCATATTTGATAAGGATTGAGGTTGAGCAGCAGTGTGTGTGTGTGTGTGTGTGTGTGTGTGTGTGTGTGTGTGTGTGAGAGAGAGAGAGAGATCACAACTATAGCCTTGGAGGGAGGGGCTAGCATCTGCCTCTGCCTCTGCCTCAGTTGGTGTGAAAAGATACTTTCTGCAGGAAGAAATCAGTTATAATCATCTGCTATTATATAATCTTTTGAGTTTTTACAAGATGTGAAAAGGTATAGGGGCACCTGGGTGGCCCAGTGGGTTGAATGCCTGACTCCTGATTTTGGCTCAGGTCATGATCTCATGGTTTTTGGGTTCAAGTCCCGCATCAGGCTCTGTGTTGACAGTGCTGAGCCCACTTGGAATTCTCTCTCTCTACTCCTCCTGTGCTCTCTCTCTCTCTCTCAAAAATAAACTTAAAAAATGTATATTGCCCTTGTAAAAAAAATTCATAGGATTGTTCAAGACCACCTTGGTCTTCTCTCCTTCACCCTCAATACTCTACCCCACCCCATCCCATCTCTTACATTTTTGATTACTTGTTCCAAACTTCTTATATAAGTAGGAATACTTCAGTCATGTTTTATTTTCAAATATCACATACTTTCTAATAGTATCACCATTTGTTGGCTGCTGCGACCTATTTATCTTGGTGAGGAAGAGACATTCTAGCTTGACTTTTTTGGTGGCTCTGTACGGAAGAATTTTTTTCTATTGTAATGCTGTGTTAGTCAGGGTTCTTCAGAGAAACAGCACCAGTAGGGTTTTTGTGTTTGTATTTAATATAATAAATATATTAAAAGTGTGTAATATACATATTAAAAGTGTATACATGTATATATATATATATATATATATCTTACAAGTGTATATATATTACAAGTGCATATATATTAAAATTGTGTATGTGTGTATATATGTATATATATATGTCATATATATATGTCATATATATATGACTTTTTAATGTTTATTTATTTATTTTAAGAGAAAGAGTGTGAAAGGGGGAGGGGCAGAGAGAGAGGGAGACAAAGGATCCGAAGCAGGGCCCTCACTGACAGTAGAGAGCCTTATGCAGGGCTTGAATCCACGAATTGTAAGATCATGACCTGAGCTGAAGTCGGACGCTTAACCAACTGAGCCACCCAGGTGCCCCTGTGTGACATTTTTATAAAGAATGGGCTTCCATGATTATGGAGGCTGAGAGGTCCCAAGATCTGCAGTTGGTATGCTGGAGACCCAGGAGGGGCAATGGTTTCATTCCAGGTCCAAATCTAAAGGCCTACGAACCCGGAGAGACGGTGGTGTAGTTTTAGTTTGGAAACTTGCAGGGTTGAGAAGAGCTGATTTTCATTCCAGGTGTGAAGGCAGGAAAAGCCAAGTTCCAGCTCCAAGCCACTCAGGCAGAGGAACTCCCCCTTATTTGGGGGGAGGGTCAGCCTCTTCTGTTCAGCCCTTAATTGATTGGATGAGGCCCACCCGAACTAGGGAGGGTAGTCTGCTTTACTCAGTCTATCAGTTCAGAGATTAAAACAATCCAAAAACACTTTCACAAACTCATGGGTACCTGGTGGCCCAGTCAAGTTGATACATAAAATTAACCAGAACCTATATTGTCCTGTGTCATTTCAGAAGACTCTTTCTTCATCTTGTCATATGAGAAGCTCTGATTCTACCTCAAGGTGTAGTTTTCTTTTCCATAAAGCAGTCACATTGTTTTGGGTGGTTTGTAGCACTCTATAGATCCACTCCAGGAGCCACATACTTTGTCCTGGTCATCATCTAGGCTTCCAAAAGCCAAGTCATGGATTTTGTAAGGCAAATTTTTAAAATTTAAAGGATTATCAAGGATTGGTTGGGGTCTGAGTTTCTCACTAAAATTAATGAAAGCTACATGATTAAATGCCTTTGTAATGTAGTATGTCAACTAGACCAGTTTGAGATGGGGAACTTGATGTTATGTTTTAAGACATAATGTGTGGGGCGCCTGGGTGGCGCAGTCGGTTGAGCGTCCGACTTCAGCCAGGTCACGATCTCGCGGTCCGTGAGTTCGAGCCCCGCGTCGGGCTCTGGGCTGATGGCTCAGAGCCTGGAGCCTGTTTCCGATTCTGTGTCTCCCTCTCTCTCTGCCCCTCCCCCGTTCATGCTCTGTCTCTCTCTGTCCCAAAAGTGAATAAACGTTGAAAAAAAAAAAAAAGACATAATGTGTGTGCATAATTAAGTATATTATAAATATATTCACATATAAATTGTATTTATTCCTGTATGTGATGCTGTTTAAATATGCTTACATCACCATTTTTTAGGCCATTAGTTGCTGCAGCTGCAGTTATCCCACTACCACGTATGATCTCCACCTACACCAGAGGTGTCTTCTGGGATAGTCCTAGGATGTCTGACACCCTAATGGGAAGTCTCATCAGGAGATAAGAAGAAGAGAGTCAGCTGTGTTTCTGTCTCCGTGTCTTATAGATGGTGGTAGAACTATTATTTGGTGGAAATTAGAGAAATTTTGTTTTCATTAGCTGATATACCTGTGGCATCTGACACTGAGGTGGAAAATGATTTTTCTTCTCTTTGTACCTCTAATCCACACAATGTGCTTATCAGGGGTGAGTGCCTCTGGGAAGGCTCTTTTCATCAAGTGCAATATGACATCAGTGTCACTGGCTAGTGAAGAAGTAGCTTCTCTGAGCTGTGGGTGCTTGCTACCTAGAATGGGCACAGCGCAATTCCAATTTTTAAACTGTGAAAATAGCATTGAGAATATCACATTTAATTATTCTAAGCTGTTTATTTATGTACAA